ATGCTAACACGCACACCAAAAACCTTTGCAAAACACCGCAAAACACACCACAAGCCTCGCCAAACATCTCTTTGCTACCGCGACCTCGCCCACAGGAAGCCGCAACCGCGTGGCAGCAGGGAAAATGGCCGTGGATCCGGTTCGTAAGTAGAGGCAAGTTCGTAACCCGAGGTAAAATTTCCCTGCCGAAGCTGGTCGTAACCCGAAATGTTCGTTAGTAGAGGCGTTCGTATCCCGAGGTACCACTGTACATAGAAATCATTTTCCTTATGCAAATTTTCTGCAAACGCATAGACGCAGCACACAGTTCTTTCCAGAATTTGATAATTGGAGAAGGTAGTGTTAAGATTAAGGCTTAATTTTAAGTGTTATTTCCAAGCCCGATGTCACATCTTTCTATATCTTGCCTGCCAAAATCTGCCAAAACCAATTTACCAAATTGTAATGAGTAATTGTAACCAGTATTTACCACTCCTCTCCCTTTCTGTATTCTCTTGCTTGTGCTCCAAATGTCCATTAGGGATATGCAAAACATTTACTGGTTCATTTTAATTACATTTTTTTTATATTGAAAAATCTGAAACAGTTACTTGATTGGTAGCTTTTTGTTGTACTAAAGTCATTGCTTTTTTGCCTTCACAATGATGCCATAAACTCTGTAATAGGTGGGGTTTAAACCGTGTTTTTTATCTGTTTGCAATTTTTTGATCCTATAGATGAAACAAGTCTTTTATTTATTGTTTCTAAACATTACTACCATATGTCACTCCTGAGTCTATTTTATACTATGGTGTCTGAAATATTTCTGTGGTGCTACTAGCATTGTTTCTGATAGATGCCAAGAGAACATATCTTGACTTTAATGATTAATGACAAAATTCTAAATTTCAGCATTCTGAAATCTGATGAATGACTCTTAAAAAAAATAGCACAAACATTTTTGTACCACAATTTTTAAAGGAGTGATCATTGTGTTTATGTTGCTGCTTTTATTTTATCATGATCTTCATATCTGAGCTATTTTATTTCTATATGTGTGTGCATAAGGAGTTAAATGATAAATGTCACAGTGCACAGGGATGAGAGATTAAGGCAAAGTGAAGAAAAGTTGATAAGCTTGTGAAAGAGTATGATATGATGCAGATTTTACAAATACGCTTGAGAGAGATTCAAAATAATTAAAAATATTAAATTTGCTTTACTAGGGTAAACAATACACTGTGTGTTTTAACTCATATAAGCCTATGGAAATTTAAAGAGTCTTGGACAATAACTGGCAGTGTGAGATGGTGTGAGAAATGGGATTTTGATATTTTTGTTTCTGTTGCAGATGATTGGCATCAGAAAACTATGACTTCAGGAACGAATGCTTGGACCTAATATAAAAGTAACTGGCCTTAAATTGATTAGGAACCATAGTAAGAAAACTTCAGAGAATCTCCATAATCAAATTACATCAGAAATTCAACCATGTATGGAAGTGCTCGATCAGTTGGGAAAATTGAGCCAAGTAGCCAGAGCCCTGGGCGTTCACCAAGGCTGCCACGTTCACCAAGATTGGGCCATCGTCGAACCAACAGTACAGGGGGCAGCTCTGGAAGTAGTACTGGAGGTGGAAGTGGTAAAACACTTTCAATGGAAAATATCCAATCCTTAAATGCTGCCTATGCCACATCAGGCCCTATGTATCTAAGTGACCATGAGAATGTGGGTACAGACACACCTAAAAGCACCATGACTCTTGGCCGATCTGGGGGGCGTTTGCCTTATGGTGTTAGGATGACTGCTATGGGCAGCAGCCCCAACATTGCCAGTAGTGGGGTTGCCAGTGATACTATTGCATTTGGAGAACATCATCTTCCTCCTGTGAGTATGGCCTCTACAGTGCCTCATTCACTGCGCCAAGCTAGGGACAATACAATAATGGACTTGCAGACACAATTAAAGGAAGTGCTCCGGGAAAATGATCTATTGCGAAAGGATGTAGAAGTGAAAGAAAGCAAACTTAGCTCTTCCATGAACAGTATCAAGACATTCTGGAGTCCTGAGCTGAAGAAAGAAAGGGCCTTGAGGAAAGATGAAGCATCCAAAATCACTATTTGGAAAGAACAGTATCGAGTGGTTCAGGAAGAAAATCAGGTTAGTAAACTAAAGACTTCAGCAGAAAGAAAGGGTGTGTGTAAGAGTGGGGAAAATGCAATTGTGATACTAGATAAGTTTGAAATAATTCATTTCTGTGAGATTCCATTATGAATACAATCATCTTATCCAATCTCAGTGGTTTTAAATAGCACTGTATAACATGAAAAGATTCTGTCTCAGCTGTTTCTATATTACCTAGGTAAATGGCATTAGAGAACATTAAAGTAGGAGCAACTTCTCTCTTTCCCCAACAATCCATTGTCACAGCTCTACGTAGTATAAATATGTTCTCAGATTTCTTCAGGTCAAAATTCATTGCAATGAAAGGAATCACTGTAATTCATAGTATTAAATAATTATTAATTTCAAAATAAAATCAGTCAGCAGCACCTGATTTGAAAACTAATCAGTAAACACTTAGGTGTGAAAGTCTTGGTATTTTGAAAACTATTTTAATTTTGTTGCCTTTTTTTTGCCCCAAAGATACAGGTAGATATAATCATAGAAGAAATATTCATAGATAAATCCCTACCTCAGAACTCCTGCAGTGATAGAATACACTATAAAGCCGATCAATTAGGAAACAGTAAGAATAGCAAAAACAAATACATATGGTCCTTGTTTAACGACCACTTGTTTCAGTGACCATTCAAACTTACAACTGGTCCCCCTACATACAGCTGCCGCAGGATCACATGATCACAATTTGTGTCCTTCCCTGCTAGCTTCCAACAAGCAAAGTCAGTGTGAAAGCTGGCAGGAAGTCACAAGTCGTGGTCACATGAGGTCCTTGCTTAATGACTTGTGTGGTCCTTGTTTAACAATGGCAACCAGAACTGCCGTTGCTAAGCAGCATGGTCATGTGGTTTCTTGAGTTATGATCGTGTCACTTAATGATGGAGTTTCTGGTCCCAATTAGCATTGTTAAGCAAGGACTACCTGTAAAACTTGTCAGAAGCAGTTCCAGAAAAGTCAGCTATTTTAGCCATATAGATATTGTGGAGAAGAATATGGAATTATCATCATGTCTTTTTTGTGGGTTTCTTTACATTTTAAATTAAAATTTAAAATTGTGGGTTTCTTTAACTTTTAATTTCTTTAAATTAGACAGATCTTCATCTAACCCAGGAAGATAACACTTGTTCTTTTCAAGTTACTACTAAGGAGTATAACCTTTGACCTATTTGTAGTCCAATTTTTTGGAGTTACTTCATATGTTATTTACCAGGTGTTAAAATAAATCTCATGCTTACTGACTGGGTAGTTACCCAAAAATGTAGAAACGTTATGAATAAGAAATGCTTTGTAAAGCTGTAGGTTCATTAAAATATCTTTTTAAATTCTTTTCAGTATGACTTCTTAAGGATCAGTGGCAAACCAATAAACTAGGGTTTCATAGTCTGGTGTTGCTTTGAAAGCACTTAGGCATTTCCCTAGTACTCATGGCTGGTTGAGAAGCTGAATTAAATAAAGAAATATGTGTGAATGGAAGAAAGACTATGTTAGCTCATGCTTGTTTGTGTTTGTGATGTCAAAAAATGTTCAATCAGAATGGGGATTTTAAGAAAACCACCTCCAAATGAGATTGGGAAAGAGGAGCAAGAATACCTTGCTTCTTTGTATAAACCCCTGCATTATGTATACTCCTCCTGAGTGTTATATGCCTCCTGAGATTTGAACTGAACCTTCTGTGACAATTTTCAGAGGGTTCTGAAAACAGACTGTTTCTCTGAGTTTTTAATGGTTGAGAAAAAAGCGTTAGAACATTGGGATGCTGAGTTTAATATGGAGGAGTTTTTTAAGGGTTTATTTATGGTTTTTAGAATGTTGTTAACAGTTGAGAGTTTTCCTAATGGCCCCTCAAGAAGGTGAAGTGCAGGAGGGCAAGGCTTTCAGGCAATGTTTTTTGGCTGCAGCCCCCATATTATGGGATAGCCTTCATCTGGAGATTAGGTTGGAGTCCTCTCATTGTTGATCTTCAAGAAACTATTAAAAACAGCTGTTCCAGAAGGCCTCTGGGGAATGAATGTCACAACTGCACCTATTGTATTAGGGTAGCTACTTGCTTTCATTGGTTTTTAGGTTTTCATTATGTTTTTATGATGTAAACTGTCAGGAGTCATTTTTTGACTCTGGCAATATATAAACATGCATGCATGCATGAAAGAAATGTCCTTATACTTAAAAGAACAAAACATTTTTATTTAAAAACGCATGAAAACCTATGGCTTTTGTTTTGGTCACCCAAATAATTTTTAGCAGAAGAGTATGTAATGGCTTTTCTATATTCTATTCTGCACACCCTTTCTAATTATTCATTTAAAGCCCACTATAATTACAACTATAATGGTAGGCTTGTTGAACAATGGCCAAAAAAGAAGGGTATTATTTAAAAGCATAGTGAAGTATATAATGAGATGTGAAAGCTTGGTGTCCTAATTTGCCAGTTCATCTCTAATTGAATTGTTTTATACCATCTATACTGCTTGCAGCTGGTGATTTTTGCCCTTTATACTGAAGACCAAGGTAAATTTACTTTAAAGAAGTATCCCCACATAGACTTTCAGTTATGGTTTGTTTGGGGTTTTTTAGCTGAGTTCAAGCCACACTGGGACACTGATGGATGTAGTAGTGTAAAGGAGCCTTGAATAACTCAGTGCCCTAAAATGTATTGAATACAATTCCCATTGTTTCTAGTCAGTGTTGTCAGTGAACGTGTAAGATGTGAATTATGGAAGTTGTAATTCAACATACCTGGTTTGGAAACCTTAGTATAAAGGGTCAGCTTTTAAAGATGTTAGAAACATTAGATAAATTAGAAATTGAGTTTGCTCACTTTTAAGTTACTGTAGAAATAACAACTATTTTATATGGGACTGCATTATGATAAATGTGAAGTTCCTCATGTTTTTATACCTTATAAGAAATGAAAGGAAAACTGCCAGACAAACCCAGTTTCAGCTTCTGATACAAATGGCATGTTTGGTATGTTCAGAAAATAGGACCCATATTCAACACTCTTTTTGCATTAGAATTGTGTCTTTTTTAAAGTATTTGAATCACTACTTTCCAGTGCAAGAGCTCTACATAAACTTGTGCAATGTAATAGTGGTATTTATGTATCACTTTCCATAATATCATTTATAGCTATACTTTATCTCATAAAACTGTTTTCTAACTATCCAAGTCAGTGTTTCTCAACCTTAGCATGCTGGCTGGGGAATTCTGGGAGTTGAAGTCCACTCATCTTAAAGTTGCCAAGGTTGAGAAACACTGATCCAAGTGATAGAATGATATATGGCATTGCCCTATTCAAAACAAAATAAGTTATCTGACCACAATGAAGCCTTTATTTAGTGGACCTTGGTATACTGTACCCAACTTTACATGCAATAGACTAGATTTCTGCCATGATTTACATCATTTGCGTGATTATGTCATTATTGTAGTGATGCAATTACCCAAATTAATGCAAATGGGTTAAGTCACCACAATGACACACTGTCATACTTAACAATCATTTGTAAATTATAAATATTCCTTCTTCACAGCTTGTCCATTAAAATAATGCTTCTTTGTAGTTCACACAGATTTTTTTTTGCCAACTTTAGATCTCCCAAATTTACTACAGAATTCCATATTTAGCCCCAACATATTTGCTTTGGAATAAAGATAAGAAAAATGGTGCCCTCCAGATGCTTTAGGCTATAACTCATATGATCTCTGGCCATGAATTGAGTTTCATTTATGAGCCATCTATTATTTGTGTTTGCAAGCAGACCTTTTCCTCTCCTGAGCCCATAATGTAACAAAAACCCAGGTGGAATATATTAGAACATGCCTCCTTTCCTTGATTATATGTCATGTGCAGAGCACTTGGAGATAAACACATTCTGATTCTCCATTTGGTGTCTGTATAACAGTATGTGTTATCCACCTATGCAAGCCCCATCTTCAGAATCTTCTGTAGCTTGAGTAGATTCTTAATGAAACCATATCATCTGTTATGCATTCAGTACTTTTGGGTACAGTTCCTACTTATGTCAGGCTTCTTTGGTAGCAGCCTGGAATGGAAGCCCTCAGTCCCAAGAACAGTTTCTCAGAGCAATGATTAGGAAGCTTTATTAAGAGGAAGGTTAAAGTAACAATACATGAATTCTGGTGAGTTCTTAGTATAAAGCCAGACCTATATATAGGCCAATTATATCAGGAAGGTCCTGGTTCTTTTTCTTGTGTTCTTTCAAAGAAATGACTTACCACTTTTGTGAAGGGAAACAGCTGTATCTGCTGAATAATTGGAAATGGCTGCTAGACTTCATATCAGTCTGAGAACCAACTTTCCCACTTTTCCCTTCAGTTTCTTTGCTGAGAAAATCTTGCTTTTCTGAAATATATTATCTATCAATCTCAGTCTGCAACCTAATAGTATATGATGACAAAAATCTACAGGAAGGGACAGCTTAGTTTCCCTTGGAGAGGCAGTGTCTTACAACCTCGGACTTGCTATTCTACAAATGTGTGGGATGTAGTAAAAAGCTGTCCCAGCTGATTGTCAGTCTTGGTATTTGGTATGCCTGGACAAGGGCATAATGTTGATATTTGTATGCACTGACACTAAGTTCACTAGATACGTATGCCTAGCCGCTCTTCAAGACTTAGATTCCTCCTGCGGAAGAGGAATGGGTAGCAGCCTTTTCAAACCATTGGCCTACATACCAATTTGCACTGCACTGTCAAAGATACCTCATGCATCAGCAATTATGGTGTTGCTGAATGTTCAATTTGGCAGTGCTGATGCATCTGATCACCCTGGGTCACTTCCATTCCTTTCTTCTAAACACAAGAAAGCTAAAGAAAAGAAATACTCTGCAGGATGTCATTTGGAGACAACACTGTCAAAAACAATAACTGCCAGAACCATCCTCTGTATTAAATCTATCATGGCTTCTTACTCTTACACCACTGCCCACCCTTCTTTTCTTCCCAATTTGATAAAT